ATATAATGTTATGAGATTTAAGCTATTTGTTTAAACATTTATGTTTTCATGTTATAATTTGTGTTCATTCTAGAATGAATAAGGCATAATTTATGTTTATTTCCTAATTTTTTATGGTGGTTGCGAGATCAGTCAAATTTACCAAATCTGTACAGAGGTTAATTACTGAAAATAACAGATAAAATATAAAGTTTTTTTCTTAAGAAATGTTTGATAACTATCCGGACATTATAAAGATTTCGCATGTGAAATTTTAAAATTTTCTGATCCATAAAAGTATTTTTAATCTTAAAATGAAAATTACTTTGCATGATAGATAGGCAGGATGTGAAAAGAAAAAAAGGTATGAGAAAAACAATGCTTTACAAACCTTAAGACTTAATGAAAAAATTAGATATTTTGCATGTGAAAGCATTGTAATGTTTACCGGTAAACTGCCAAATTTTGTTAACATTTGCTAACTAATTTAGAAGTTATAGCATGAAAACTATAACAAGCACAAAATGGACCGAACCTGGATTGAACGAGTTAATGAAGTAGCCTTTGCAACCTCAATTCTTCTGTGGGATTTACTCTTGGGTGTTTTTGCCACCCTTTTCATCTTCAGGCTTTCCCTCTTATTATCCTCTATTTCTCATCCTTTGCCTTTGGCTATTGATTTTCTCAACTAGTCTTGTTTTTTACCTCTTCCTCTATACCTACTCTCCTATTTGCCTCCTCTTTCTGGACCTCAGTTTACACACTACTCTCCTTCTTGGACCCTATTGTTGTTGCCTCTTTTACTGCCTTTGCCTGCTTGATATTCAAGACCCCTCTTCCTCTCCCTGTTATTCCTTCACTTTTTTGCTTCACACTCTCACTCTTTCCTTCCTCTTAGAAGGTTATCCTCCCTCCATCATCACACATGGACTATGCTTATTTGTCACCCATCAAACCAGAATTTCCATTAATATGGTATTATTTTTGTCACATTCTTTCATCATTGTTCCTTCTGGCAGTATTTCTGTGCACCATCTTTCTGCCTTTTTTACCTGACTGTTCATCAATGGATTCTCAGTTCAGCTTTTCCTGGTTGTCGGATGTCCCTCTCCTTGGCCTTTCTTCTTTCCTGGTACCTAGAGTTGCTTCTTCTCTCCTTTCCATTATATTCTGCTCCTTCATTCTTCTCAGTCCTCCTTTCCTGACTGAGGTTTTTCATGGTCTCGTGCATGCCCCATTTAAGCCCTTGTTTTTCTTACTTGTTTCTTCTTTCTTTTTCCCTGCATTTACTGTTGCTCAATTTGTCTTTCATATAGATGCTTCTCTCAGCTTCTTCCCTTGCACTTATCTTTTCCTCTTAAAAGACAGATCTTTTCTTACTTGGACTTTGACCACTTGGGAGGTACACCATACTTCTCTTCTATCTCCCTTCTTTCTGTTTCTCACCTATTAAATCATTTGCACCCAGCTTGGCTCCTGTGTCCAGTTGAGTTGTTCAGTGTGCCTTATCGCAAACCTTTCTCTTTAGAGGTCAATGCCTTTATCTGTCCCTGGGGCCTTTCTTTGCTTCATCTCTTGCAGGATAGGTCCAATGACTGCTCCATTGACATGTTCTCCTTGGGATGTAGATGCTTACAGGCTATGTCACCTTTCTTTGCATTTGATTCTTCACTTTTTTTCATTCCTTTACATCTCTTATTCGTCAGGCATGTGGACTTTCTCCACACATTCATCTCCTTCTCTACACCTTTTGGCTGTTTTCTCTACTAATGACTTTCGGTTTCCACAGGTTGCCATTCTTCAATCACAAGCAGTCTTTGAAAGTATTTCATTTTCAGAGCATCTCTTTCATTCCAAAGGATTCAACCAGGTGGCTTGTATTTCCTCCCAGGTCATCCATTGTTCTCTCTTTCTCTTTGATAAAAGACCTTTACAAACTGAAGGACTGATGGAGATCCAGGCACTTTCTTCAGATATCCCCATGTAAACCCCCCCCCCCCTTGCCAATTATAAGTACCTAATTGCTGGGCTGGTGGACCATA